GGCAGAAGGGACCCCCCCGGGGTCTCCACCTTCCCCCACCTTCGGAAGAGCAGAGACGAGACACGGTCTGTGTTGGTTTCTTTATTAATTCATAGTCCGATAGCTGGTGTACAGGGAAATGATCTATACATCAGGGGCTAAGACAGGGAGATCCAAAAGGCTTGTTTTCATAACAATTAAAAAAAGAAAATAAAAGTAATTTTTAAAACTCTAAAAAGCTTCTAGTGTGCAGACTGCAGCATTCTCTAGGCTCAATGTTGGGTGCAGCCTCCCCCTACCAGCCCTACAAGCAATCTGAGCGCGAAGCAATGTCACTGCAGGTGCCTGGCACGGTTCAGCACAGCACATTCCCTACGGCATACACAAGGCCAAAGCACTGGACCCACACACAACTCTATGGTGATGCTACGGAGTCAGCTGTCGCAGTGGGTCTAGGGAGGTTACTGTACGCAGCGAGGGTGATGGATGGAGAGACTGTGCCTATATGGCTCAACTTTGGGGTGGGGAAGGGGCTGCTTTGCTCTCCAAGGCTAAGCTGGGTCAGTTGCTTTGCTGCAGTGAGGCTTCTTCGTGGCTGCAGGGCAGCCAGGGGCTCTCCCAGCAGATGTGCACCCACTGCGAGGCAGGGCTGCCCTGCCGAGGCCACCATCACATGGCCTGAAGCTGGAGGTGGGCTCGTTCTGCACGTGGCCATAGAGAGCAAGCTCAGACTCTGCAAAGCAGGGCCATGGCCACCTCCAGGGGAAAGAGCAGGGGGTCTCCATACCACTGTGCTACAAAGGCCAGGCCCCCACGTCAGTCAGGTAAAGGACAGGGTTGGGGACCTGGGACCTACTGCCACCACTTGCATCCTGCACTCCTGGGGTCAGTTTTGCAACAGGTTCAATCCATTGCCCACCCCCAAGCTACCTGGGCAGCTCTGCCCAGTGCTGCTCTCCTGCCAGAGCAGCTGCCCCGGCCCCAGGGTGACCTCTGGGCTCGGGCTGCTGCCACAGCACCTTCCCCTTGGCCAAAATGCTGCTACTGGGGCAGCAGCCCCCATGTCTCTGGGATTGGTCCCGGGAGGGTCAGCATCCAGGGGTCACTGGGCTATATCCTCCCTTGCAGGTAGGCCAGGGTCCCTGCAGAGCCCTTGCCTGGGGTGCGTAGTGCAGGGCTGCTGGCTCCTGCCAGCTCCTGGCTCATCTCCTGAGCAGATATTGTGCTGAGTAGAGCTAGGCACGACCCCATGCGTGGCACAAGCACCCCCTGCTCTGTCTCACTACTCATCCTCCATGGGCCCCAAGCACCTCAACACAGGCCGACAGCTTCAACCCAGCTGGAACCAACACAAACTGGGGCTGCACCACGGACAGACCCACGGGACTGCACCTCTAGGCCCCCCTCTTCAGGCCAGGAAGGGGCCAGGCTCAGGCAGAGGAGCACAGGGCAGGGGCAGACCCTCTCACTGCTGTAGCCTCCCTGCTCCATTCACCAGAGCTGCTCACACACTCCAGAGGTTTTGCCTGTCCTGCAGCCTGAAGAGGTATTTGGGAGCAGAGCTGTTAGTGCTTTGTACATACTGCTAGAGTGTCCCTAGGGGTTTGCATAGTATTTATCGGTTCATATACACAAGGCTGATTGCTGTACAGTTCACACTTTCAACACAAGTAACGAGCTCAGTGCTCAGCCCAGAGCCCTGCCCTGGCAGGAGACGTTGCACGTGCTGGGGAGAGGAAGGGCAGCCCTGCACTCGTCCCTCTGCCCAGGGCAGCCCTGCAGCCTCCCCTCACACCCCCTGCCACTGCTGCCCTCCCCAAAACCCAGCACTCACTGAGAGGGATGAGAAGCGAGTCCAGCAGAGGCAGCAGAGGCACTGGGGGGGCCAAGCACCTCTCCTCCCGTGGTGAGCAGTGCCATGCTGCCCCAGCTTCCCTCCTGCAGCCGGAGCACGGACGGGGGGATGCATCTACACACGCAATCACACGAGGGTGGAATCTCCTTCCCCCTCGCTGTCTTCTAGTCCAGCTCTTGCCTCGCAGAGGAGCTGAGATGGTGCCCCTGGTGTGTGCTGCTGTCCCTGGGCTCCTGGCAGCAGCGGGGCAGGGACGGAGGCCCCGTCAGTTTGAAGTACTGTAGCTCATGCGTCTTGCAGTCAGTCAGTCATGCGGATAGGACGGTAAGTATGTCTCATACAGAAATCATGCCATTAGCCTATAGAAACATGTACAGCCAGCCCTGCTCCCCTCCACTCTCTGCTCTCCTCTCCTCTCTTCTCAGGTATGTGTCAGAACGTGTGTGGAGTTCAGTGGTTTGGTGTTGAGGTGCGATCCTGGAGAGACACGTACAGAGAGATGGGGTTACCGGGCGTTCGTGGTGGCACAGCCAGGAGAAAGGCTGAGGGCAGCCAGGCACGTGGCTGGGAAGCCCCTTCTGCACGCTGTGCTCAGCCCACATGCACCCATTCTGCCCAGCAACCACAAGACAAGTTTTGGGGAGCATCAGAGAGACGGTGACAGAGCCCCAGTAAGTGGCCTGCCTGGAACCAGGAGCAGTGACACAGATGGCATTGGTGAGAGAACAGCAAGCAGGGGCTGAGCAGCACCAACAGCAACATGGCACTGGGAAGGAGCTGGCAGGGCTGCTCTAGGCTCTAGGATGGAGGAGGCCAGCCCTGAGCCCCCAGCGTCAACTGGGGTGACTGACTGCACCCCACTCTCCCAGCAGTGAGGAAGACCCCATACATCCCCCATACATACTCTGGGCCACTTTGACACATGACAGAAAACAGCAAAAGCAAAGCAGCAGGAGCAGTGCCCCAGAGAGAGGCAGAGCCAGGGACTGTCTGGGGAGTGGGGCAGATGGAAAGGATGGGGATGGGTCTGCATGAACCTGTGCTCACAAGCACAAGCCTCTTCACTGTCACACACCCGCAGAGAGCCCGCTAACAGAGTGGAGAGAGCAGGGAGAGGGAGCACAGACAGACCCATGCATGTAGAGCAGAGGACCAACTGCCCCTGCTGAGCAGCCTCCTCCCAGGCCCAGGCAGTGCTGGGCAGCTGGGGAGCACTCCTGCAACACCTTCCCCAGCACTGCACTGATGAGGTGAGTGTGCAGAGCACAGTGATGCAGCTGCCCAAGTGTGCTGTGCCAAGCACCCTGCCTCAGCCTGCTCCAGACCCACCCCACAAGGAAGGCAGGGGGAGCAGGGAATAACTCTGAGCTCACGCTGCGGATCAATGGAAGAAATGTCCCAGGCCAAAGGCAGGGGCTCTGCCTCAGCCCTACAAGGGTCATGTTCCTGCACCTGCCACTCCTGCATCCCTACTGCCCTGCCATCCACCAGCAGCACCCTGCCATGGCCTGCACCCCCATCCTGGCTTCAGTGCCCCTCACTGTGGCTGCAGTGGGGTGCTGTGCACACAGCTGGCTGAGGCATCGAGGCACCCTGTGCCCACAGCACCCAGGAGCAGGTCAGCAGCAGGGGCACCCCACTGCCCACCCTCAGCACTTTGCTGCAGCACAGCAACCCCTCTCTGCAGGCCAAGAGCTGGGCACAGCCATGTTACACTTCCCCAGGAGAATGTGCATGACCAGCAGCTCAGTGCAGGCAGCAGCACGGGCAGAAGGAAGAGCAAAGGTGGGGTTACCTCAAAAGAGGCCATTTGAGGGGTCACTGCTTCCCCCTTTTCAGGCTGGCTCGTTTCACTATCTGAGCCCCCATCCTGCCCCCGGAGACCTCTGGTTTCGGGACACGCACTCGCACCTCCTCCTGAGGGAGCCGCAGGGGCAGGGAGCAGGACATCACCCGGGTGAAGACAGACACACAGAAGAGGACAGGAGAGGGAAAGGCAGAGTCAGTTGGCAGAAGACACCAAGCAAGAAGACAGGGCAGTGGGCAAGATTTGCCCCTGGAATTCTTAGAGGGGAAACAGGAGAGGAGAGCAGGGCAGAAGAAAGGACAGAGGGTGGCATAATCCCAAAGCCTGAGAGTACTGCAGAGGTGGTGCTGGCCCGGGCAGGCTGCCTGCAAAGCAGGGCTAAGAGCCACACTGTACCTTGGCCCCCAGACCATCCCGGTGCAAGAAGGAGTATTTCATGAAGTGATCATCCTCAGCCTCCAGGTCTTGGGGCTCCCGCAGGGAGCCCTCCAGAATCAGCTCCTCCTGTTCCTGCCTGTCACCCATGTCACCAGGGCCCAGCTGACGCACCACCTTCCGGATAATCTGTGGAGACCCACACAGCCGGTGTCACAGCTAGCTCCAGGACACCATGCCTCCCTCCTCACCCAGCCTGGCCCTAAAGTGCACGTGGCAGCCTCCATCCCACGAGCTGCAGAAGTGCCGTAACTGAAGACAGCAGGACACAAGTGCCCTGCATGGACCCCTGGGCTGCAGGGAGGAACAGGGCAGCCGGGTGGAGGGGACAGAAGAAAGGTTTCTGCGTGCCCTTGTCCATATCTTGCCCCTGATCACTCACCTTCTTGGTGACTATATTGCCTTGATCATCTGTGAACTGCTCCTCGGTCACCTGCTCTCCAGGGAGATGAAGGACTTCGTTCCCCTGCAGCAACAGGAGGGAGATC